GTCGTCGTAACCACAACTGATAAAATATGTTTTCATCTACTTTTCTGTCATCGATTATGCTTCTCATATAGTTTTTTAGTTGCGATGGAGTCCTATCTCCTATCTGCACTTGACTGAGAAGTTGTTCGATGGCTTGCCGGTCGCTTAATGAGACGGCTTTAATCACTGCCTGTTTTAATGCGTCGTATGGCTTTTCTATGTCTGGCTTGATTAAAATCTCTCGTACATTATCTGCTACTTCATCTGGAAGTAGCGAGCACGCGTGGCCAAATTCATCTCGTTGTGTATGAACACGATTAGCTACAAAGTAATGTTCAAGTCTGATAAACCAAAGTTGGGGATCTGTGACCTTAAAAGGAGGAATAGTTACATTAATGGACCTCACGGACGGCGTTTGGGAAAGTTCTATTGTATCGTTACTTAAAGACATAATTATAAAGATCAAAAAGTACACGAATATAATGCGAATGTTACAGAGAAAAGTGAGTCGATAAAAACAATGATAAAAACAAATGGTACAATTTATAACAAAGAACGGACTTACTAAATTGCACCAAAATATCAATTGTTTGTAAAAATATCGTTCTTTATTATGAATATTATCGTTATGTTCTATAATGTTTGTGAGATAATGTACGTATAATTAAAATAATGAGATAATAAATCCACAGTTATAATTATAATCCAAATGATAGTTACAATTGTAATCTAGTACGTTGGACTTTAGGAATTGGATTAAGTCGTTCAAGATTGTTTCGTGTTCGCGCGTCGGGATCGCCAATTATGTGGTCGTCGGTATCCGATATAATCCTTAACTTCGTATACAGTTCGTCTTGCTAACCGTTCTATATAACGTCCCAACGGTATATTAATCAGAAGGCAAATACGAAGTGTTGATTACGTTTATTGCGAGACCACACACATATATCCAAAATTACCGATGCATTAACGAGCATTAAGAGTTGTGCCGAACAGCAAACAGGCAAGCAAGCGACTGAGCGAATATAAGTAATCGAGTACAATCAAACGAGCGAGAAAGCAGAGTCAGCCATATGAATAACATGGACATATATATAGCATGTGAAATTAATGAGTAATCGAATCAAACAAGCGGTTAGTAGTAAGACTAGCGGAGTGAATAAATGCGTAGGCCGTAAGCAATATTCAAGCATGCATATTTCATACAAGCACAAAATAATAATAAGGGTACAATAAATTGTTATAGTGCGGATGGCTTTGTCCGCTAAATAAGTTAGCAAAAGGGCTTAACTGATTTAAATGAGAATAAACCCATTTGCACGTGAGTCGCTATAAGCACTTCGAGAGGGAGAGCGGGCCCTCCCCACTCCCGACTGTACCACGGCATTTGGGGGCAAATAGTTGTGACTTCGTTTATTTATATAAATATTGTGCCCCTAACATTGGGGCTTTTAAAGCAGTTCTGTAGATATTTTTCTGATGGAGAAGAGTTAGTCCGGAATCAAAGCCACGCTGACCTGCCCATAAGTGTTAGTCAAATAAACTTAGGCAAATATTCTGAATAATGATTTTACGGGGTTCCCACCCATATGATTATGAGCTATTATAACTAGGCAAACCTATTTGAATAGTAACACTCAATAACAGTAGAACTTTGTCATATTTATATAAATTACCAAAGCAGAATAAGGACGACAGATGATTTCTATGTTGCGGACAATTAGTAAAATACTAACAAAATGAAAAGAACAAGTGATGTTCAGGAAATGTGAAGAAGCTAATAGGAATTGTTGCAGAAAATACACTCAAGAGTCTATGAAAACTAGAATGAAATGTTTATCCTTATTAGTTAAAGAAACTATATTGTCATGAATTGACAACGATAAACTTTTGAACTCCCAAACTTTTTAGAGTGTAAGTTGACATTTATTTAAGCAGTCTATTTTTAAACAGATAAAATAGTTGAAACTGATCTGGCTACTTGATTAGCCTCACGAAACAGCAAATGTGAGGAATCGACAGCTGGGGATTCGAAAAGTACGAGGTAAGTAACTAGCCAGATACATTAACCGTAACGTGATTACGGTTTATACTTAATGAGTATTTATTTATTTATTTATTTGGACACATGAATATTCGTACAAGAGAGCGCGAATATATATGCGCCACACAAAACAATGAAAATTCGAGAGGAATACAAAGAGAGAAAAAAAGCTAAGGAGCGCAACAAAACGAAAAAGAGAGAACAATAACGAAGAGATTGGTGTAAGGTAATGTGCTAGTAATCAGGGAACGCAAAGGTACAATCGGAAGAAATCTTTCAGGTAAGGGAGACAACCACTTTTTATGAAAAAAGTAAAAGAAGGTTACAGCAGGATCGCCACTGGCTTCTATTCTGAGCCATATCTGATAACGTCTCTAGCCACTGTGTAGCACCATCTCTCCGACCCCAACCAGGGAGTCGTGAAGGACCAACACAAGCCAGTCCTTTGCAGCTTTCTTTCATGCCACGACACCATATCATGCACAGACCACCTCTCCGCTTCTTCCAACCAGTCCCAGAGTCGGCAAATAATGCACGACGTGGAATTCTCTGGGACGACATTCGGAGAACATGTCCAAGCCACCGAAGTCGGTGTTTCAAGATGGTGACACCAATTGAATTATCATCTCTGTGCCCGAACACACGATGCCGAACCTCTGCAATACTGACATGGTGTTGCCACTGAATGTCAGCAATCCTTCGGAGACAGCGATGATCGAACACTGAGAGTCGTCTAACATCCTCAACTCGGAGAGACTAGGTTTCACAAGCACACAGCAAAACTGCTCTCACCGACGTGTTGTAGATCCGACCTTTTACAGCCAGACTAACATCACGAAGGCGCCAAAGGTGGCCCAGATTGGCATAAGCCGCTCTGGCTTTCACTATACGTGCATTGATCTCATCACTCACACCCCCACCAGCACTTATGCAGCTACCCAGATACACGAACTTCTCGACTACGTCTATCTGCTCACCACTCAGGGTGAGTACAGGATTGGAATCCTGCCAGTCTTGTAGGAGTACTTTGCACTTCGAAGGTGCAAAGCACATACCATACCTACGGACACTGATTGTCAACTGATTAAGTGCGGATTGCATGCCTTGGGCATTATCGCACAGTAAGACAATATCGTCCGCATACTCAAGGTCGAGAAGTCTTTCTCCAGGCAACAGATCCACACTACCATTACTTACATTCATCAGAGCTGTTTCCAGGATGTCATCGATGGCAAAGTCGAAGAGGGATGGTGAGATTAGGCAACCCTGCCTAACCCCACTACTCGAATGGAACAATGGAGAGAGGTGGTTGTATGCCCTCACTCTGCCTGAGGTGTTTGTATATAGGGCCTTTAAGATGTTAATAAACTTCTCAGACACATCCTTCTTCGATAGACAATCCCAGAGAACAGTCCTGTCCAACGAATCGAAAGCAGCCCTGATGTCAAGAAACACTACGACTGCTGGCCTTTGATAAGTATGGCGATGTTCTAACATTTGGCGGAGGGTGAAAATATGGTCAATACATCCTCGACCAGAACGAAACCCAGCCTGCTCCTCGCGAGTCAATCTTTCTCGGGTTTTGAACAACCTACGAAGTATGATGGAAGCCAATAGCTTGGACGCAATTGGAAGTAGACTTATCCCCCGATAGTTGTTGCAGGAACGACGTGAACCCTTTTTAAAGATAGGGACAACTATCGACTCATTCCATGACGTTGGTACACTCTCTAGTTCCCAAACCTTTGTAAACAACGTCGTCAATTCCTTAGTCAAAAAGTCACCACCATCTTTAAAAAGAGCCAGAGGTAAGTCATCTGGGCCAGGTGATTTGTAACGCTTCAAGAGTTGGAGTTCCTTGCGGACTTCCTCCTCGTTTGATGGATCAGTCGTCACCGGCCATGGAGGGCAGGACAGTCTGACCGATGTTGCCGGAGCAGCAGGCCAGTTGAACTGCCCTTCGAAAAATTCTGCCCACCGTCCAAGACGTCGATGGATGTTAGTGATTGGCATCCCATCATCCTCGCAGATTGTTTCACTCACACCAGACTTCTTGCTGCCAGTGGCTCGGATGAGCTGGAAGAGCTTCCGGTAGTTAATGAGTCTTTATACACGTTATTGATAAAAAAAACTAACCTCAAACTACTTATGTTTTAAGAGTTAATAAGCTAGGTAAAACTTTAGTGTATAAGAAGGCCTGTTGATTCCCGTGTAATGTAATCTTTACAAAGATAGGTAGGATGACTTTGTAAAGGCCAAAGCGTGCCATCAGTTCATGAAGTCACTGACCGTTGGACTGAGTTGTGCTGGTAGATACAAGCTACCTGGCTGGGGGCCGCACGAATATCACAACTAGTGATTGAAGACGTTGAGTGACATGGCTAAGGAGCGGTCGCAATTATGTAAATGGATTCACTATATACCTTCTCTTAAATATTGATTTTCGAAACTATATGATGCTTTATCGATTCACAAATCCATCTTGAGTCGTATACTACCAGTGGTACCGTAACTACTTATTCTATATTATTTTTGTCTTAATAACATCATTTCGCTGTGTTGCACCAACTTGATGCCCGTATGCACCAGGATCTAAATGGTGTTTAACTGGATGATCATATACAGACATATATTTGAATGTTTGTGTATAAGATAAACAAAAAATGTACTTCAAATAAACTGATTTGATATTGTGGTCTACATATTTAGAAACAACCTAGTACGCAATTAGGATGATGGTTTTGATAAGTCTCACTGAGGAGAGTATAATTCTACGATAATAAATGGTATCTATCGAGAATTTTATATGGAAACATGTGTTCATAATTTGAGACATGTAAACAATTGATTTAAGATGGACTCAATGAAAAATGTTTGCTTCAGATAGATATGAGTAAAAAGACGCATTGAAATATACAGTATATGAAAGACAATTTCAAAATCAGATAAAACTATACATGGAGTCTGAAAACTGTCCTCATATAAGGCCTTCCATTTCACGCATAAACTCTTCATATGCATCATCTTTGCTAGTCGCTGATCCAGAATTAATTCCTGTAGTATCAGATTTGGCAACACGATCATAAACAGCATTCGATTGTTCTAAAATTAAAATAAAAAACAATGACTGGATTATTTGGGTAGGATATAAGGTGATACTTTGACTAAAAATTTTCGCGTTTTAAACCACATATTCGTAAGGCTTCAAT